TTTCTTTCTTTCTTTCTTTCTTTCTTTCTTTCTTTCTTTCTTTCTTTTTTTCTTTCTTTCTTTCTTTCTTTCTTAATGTTTATTTAGCTTTGCTTTCTTTTTAATTGTTTTTTTAATGTTTATTTATTTTTGAGAGAGAGAGAGACAGAACGTGAGTGGGGGAGTAGCAGAGAGGGAGACACAGAATCCAAAGCAGGCTCCAGGCTCTGAGCGGTCAGCAGAGATCCCGAAGCGGGGCTCGAACCCAGGAACCGTGAGATCATGACCTGAGCCGAAGTCGAACGCTCAACCGACTGAGCCACCCAGGCGCCCCTGTTTATTTAGTTTTGAGAGGGAGAAAGGCAGAACATGAGTGGAGGAGGGGCAGAGAGAGAAGGAGACGCAGAAATCCGAAGCAGGCTTCAGGCTCTGAGCTGCCAGCACAGAGCCCTACTCGGGGCTCGAACCCCTGAGCCGTGAGTGAGATCATGACCTGAGCCGGAAGTCGGACGCTTAACGGCCTGAGCCACCCAGGCGCCCCAAGAAACTGCAAGTGTTTTCTAAAAGAAAGAATTAGATCCTCCAAACTAGGGACAAATAAAAAAGGAACTTTGTTCTGATGACTCTGGACCCCTGGCCTGTCCCTGGGGAAGACAGGGCCGAGAGGTTCCTCTTGCAGCCCTGAGGAGGGTGTCAGGAATGCAGCAGGGTGTGATGAGTGTAAGCGTGGACCCTGGAGCCAGTCTGACTAAACTCAGACCCTGGGTCCACCACTTTCTCGCTCTATACCCTTGGGCAGGATTCTCCACCTCTCTGTGCCTGGATTCTTTATCTGTCAAACAGGACTAACAATAGAACTCACATTGTAGGATTATCGATGGGAAGCCCACGGGGATGTGGGTGTCACACACAGAAAGCCCCTGGCACAAAGTAAGCCACGGTGAGCTGTTGGCAGCGGTAGCAGTACTATTCATTAAGCTACTTAACTTCTCCGGGGATGGGGCGCGGTGGGGAGGGGGCGGAGGGCACCTGGGCAGCGGCTGCCTCACCCTGTCAGGTCCAGCAGGGTCCTCAGGCTTTAGATTGTGGGGGCTCCGACCCATCCCCTAACCTGCCTTTCCCCATTCTCCTCCCTGCTCCCTGGCCTTGCTGTGTATTTCTAACTTGGATCCAGGAATTTAGGTCAGCCGAACGAGGGGCAGAACTGTCCTGGGGCAGGTCCTGGATCTGCCGTAGAGTAGATGTGGACTCTGAAGCCAGCTCCAAACTCCTGAGAACCCTTTAGGGAACAGGGCAGGACTCAGAGATGATTTTTCCACCCCGAGCTTCCTGGGGGCCTGCAAGATGGGACTGGAACTCTCGAGCTTCCCTCTTTAAATAATAATTACAACTGAGCAGCTACTATTCTACATTTTATTTTGTATTTATTTATTTGTGTTTTTTTAAGAGAAAGGAAAACAAGGGTGCCTGGGTGGCTCAGTAGGGTGAGTGACCGACTCTTTGATTTCAGCTCAGGTCATGATTCCAGGGTCGTGGGATGGAGCCCTGTGTTGGGCTCTGCACTGAGCATGGAACCTGCTTGGGATTCTCATTCTCTCTCTCTCTCTCTTTCTCTCTGTTCCGTCTTTGCTTATGCACACACGCACATTCTCTCTCTAAAAATAAATAAGCTTAAAAAAAAACCCCAAAAAGCAGAAGTTTAAAAAAAAAAAGAAGATAAAGGAAAAGACTTTCCAAGTTAGGAGAGCTGCCCAGGAAATATGCCCTTTATAAGGTAGAAAGTGGTCCCACCAGTCTACATTTTATATATATATATATATATATATATATATATATATACACACACACACACACACACACACACACACAATTTTTCCCCCTTTAATAAAGTCTCGTGAAAATCTAGGAGTAGGTACCATTATCTTCCCTATTTTACAGACGACATAATGGAGGCTCAGAGAGGTTAAGCAACCAGCCCAGGGACCCACAGCAGGTCAACGGCAGAGCCCAGGTTTGAGCTCCGTCTTGCGTGACCCCCAGCTCCAGCCTGGCCCTTCCCTCTCAGGGGATGCCTGAGGGCCAGTTCCACAGCGTCTTTTCTCACGGCTGGGCTGTCCCTTCCTTTTCTCGTGCCCCTTCCTGAGCTGCCCACACCAAACCGGCTCGATGGTGTTTTCCAGTGACGACACGCCTCATGTGCCCAATGAGAGGCTGGGAGAGGCAGCCGTGCTGGCAATTGTGGACCGCCTGACCAGGCTCATCAGAGAGGTCTTTCCAGGTAAGACTCTGTCATTGGTTCCCCTGAAGCAGTCCCGGAACCCCAGGCGGTGTCCGGCACGGTAGGAGAGCAACAGCAGCAAGATGTGGAGGAGCGACCTTCAACCACGGGCAGCACTGGCTGCTGGCCAAGTCCCCGGCGGGGCACTTCACGGCGATTGGTTGTTTCTTCCCTTCCAGCAACGCTGCAAAGAATGTGAGACATCACCGGCCTGTGTTTACACGCAGCATCCCATTAACAGAAATGCCTGACATTTCGCTGCCTTCTGCCCTTGCCTGTTTAACACAGACTCACGGCCCCTTCTCAGGGCATCTACGGTTACATACGGGCACGGTTGCCAGGAAGTCTCACGGGGACTCGCAGAGAGCCCCATGTCCTGCGGTGGCCCCAGGGCTGCCATCCACTGCCCTGAAACCATCCTGGCTACAGGGGCCTCCGGGAGATGCTGGGCTCCAGCTAAGGTGCTGTCCTTGTGCTTCTAGGGCTTTCAGAGCCTAGGAGGGCAGGCAGAGCTGTGAGTGATGATGGCAGCAGTCCCGTGGAACACGACAAGGAGAATGATATCCGCATCCCTCACCTAACGGACCCTGAAAATGTTTTTAAGCAGCCTGTGCCAAACACGAGGTCCCGGGGGCTGGATCGGGCTCTCGGGCTGCCAGCTGGGGACCCGTGAGAGCAGCCCACTAGCCCCCCACTCCCTTCCTTCGGGTGCTGGTACAGCTGCATCCTCTAAAGGCCTTAGTCATGGGTCCCCAGGACCCAGATATGGGCTAATGATGATACAAATAAATATGGCAGCAGCAGTGACTACACGTATCTATGCATCCAGTGCTACGTGTCAGGCACTGTTCTAAGAACATTACATGCTTTAGCTCCTTGCGATAATCCTGGAGGGACGTGCTATTACTGTTTCAACTTTCCCGGTGAGAAATGTGAGCCTCCGGGTCAAGTAAACTGGTCAAGGTCACGTGGCAAGGGGGAGGACACAAATCCAGCTCTGAGCGCCACTCTTATCCACCACTGCCACCGCCACTCCAGGAGGGGCCCTGTGCTGTCACCACCCCACATCTGTCCTCCAGGCAACCTTTCTGCCACCTTCTTCCCTCGACGGGAATCATTTTATGCAGCATGGTCTAGTTGTCTGGACGCATAGATGAGGAACCTATGGCTCAGAACCAGTCAGTTCCCAGGGAGGGACTCAAACTCATCCAACCCTGAGCCCTCTTTCCTTGGCTCCCCATGCACTTCGGGAATAAAAGCGGAACGATGGCTGAGAAAATGCTTTCTAAGTATGAGTTAACACACAAACATAAGTTAGAAGATCCTCTAGCTTATAACACACTTGCACAGTTACTGAATTTCCTAATATTCCAGACGCTATCAACTGTAAGTCGCATCATATTTTATGTATTGCTAAGGACAAAACGCTGTTAATTCAAGTACGACAGTGCTTCCTCATGGCCTCAGTTAAGTTACACTCCGCCTGTAGAGATGTTAAAATAGAACATACTAGAAGAGTTCAAATCGAATGGGTCCCGCGACCCCTGGGATCGGGACCTGAGTCAAAATCAAGAGTCAGATGCTTAACCGACTGAGCCACCCGGGCGCCCCGAGGCATTATCTGAGAATTACAGCAACACAGGTCCAGCAAGCACTCTCCGTTTTATTGATAAATAAAGCCGGAGCACTGAGAAGTCAAGCAAATTGCTGCAGGGGAGGAAGGGACCGCAACTCTGGATTTCAGATCCACATCGTGTGTCATGCGTTCTTCCGGCCACGTGCCACCTGTGTTCCCCATCAGAGTCACTGTGAACCCCGGCCCCTCTCCTCCAGCATGGCTGAGTGGTGAATGCAGGTGTGCTGGGCAAACAGATCTCAGTCCCGATTCAGTCTCTGCCAGTTCCCACTGGGCAATGCCCTGGAGACTCAGTTTCCTCTCTGTGCAAAACGAGGAGAAGAACGGTACCTGCCCAGAAGGTTGTTGTCAGGATTAAGTAATCCACTCACTCATTTAGTGAGTCAACAAATATTTATTGAGCATCTTATTCTTACTGTGAGTGAGATACCATTCTAGGGGGGAGGGAACTTGGCCAGGTTGTGCCCTCATGGAGCTTGTGCTTGTCAGAAGCTTCTAACCGTGCCTGGCACAAAGAAGCAGCGAAGGAAGGAGAGAGTTCCTCCCTTCTCATCTGTTCTTAGAATTCCAGGGATTGTGGGGTTTGGGGCATTTTTTTTTTAAACGGCTTCTTTTTCTTTTTCTTCTTCTTTTCTGAGAGAGCACGAGAGAGTGTGCATGAGGGAGGGGCAGAGAGAGAGAGAGAGAGAGAGAGAGAGAGGGGGAAAAAGAGAGAAACTTAAGCAGGCTCCGTGCCCAGTGCAGGGCCCGACTTGGGGCTTGATCTCATGACCGTGAGACCACGATCTGAAGCCTAAACCAAGAGTCGGATGCTCAACTGACCGAGCCACCCAGGTGCCCCTGAAATGGATTCTTAAAGGCTGGTGGCATTTGTGTTAAAGAGGCGAGGGTTTTCCAGGCAGGTACAGTGAGGGCTTCTGCCTTTGCAAACAATTCTTGATGGGAATTTTACAACCTCCTCCTTCAGCAGACCTTTTAGCACTTTCAGATCTTGTAGGCTCTACAGCGCAAAAAGTCTCTGTGAAAATATCTCTCCAAGTGGGAACTGGAGGCTCCATCCTCCCTCATTGGGTCAAGGTCAGTCCCTGGGGAACGCCAGGCTAAGGGCAAAACCCTGCCCTGAGCTCAGAGGGGTTTTTATTCATTGTCAAACTTTTTTCTGTAATGTTTATTTATTCTAGAGAGAGAGAGAGAGACAGAGACAGAGCATGAGCGAGAGAGGGGCACAGAATCTGAAGCAGGCTCCAGGCTCCGAGCTGGGGCTCAAACTCAACAGCCGTGAGATCATGACCTGAGCTGAAGACACTTAACCGACTGAGCCACCCAGGTGCCCCGTGTTTATTGTGAAACTTTTTTTTTTTTAAGTTTTATTTTTATTTTTGAGACAGAGAGAGACAGAGCATGAACAGGGGAGGGGCAGAGAGAGAGGGAGACACAGAATCTGAAACAGGCACCAGGCTCTGAGCTGTCAGCACAGAGCCCGACGCGGGGCTCGAACTCACGGACCGCGAGATCATGACCTGAGCCGAAGTCGGACGCTTAACCGACCGAGCCACCCAGGCGCCCCTATTGTGAAACTTTTATTGAGAAACTACTACTTGCCAGACACAGAAGTAAAATACAAGCAAGAATGAGGCTACTTCTGGGGAGGAAATGAGTCTGATGGGCTCCCTCCCCACAGGAGTCATTCACAAGCCACTTCCTTTCGTTTCCTTTCCTTCCTTTCCTTCCACCCCCCACCCTGTTGTAGGCTTCTATTGCAAGTGGCTCTTCCCTTTTTTGTGACACCCTCACACCTCTAATTACTCAATACCTGTCAACCCCACTGCACAGCAAGACCCCTGGGACGGGGACTGGGTGCCTGGTTCCCAGATCTACATGAGGTGCTCGATAAACACCCCTTGACTCACGAATGAGTGAAACTCCTACGGCTCCCCGAGTGAACCAAACCCTTTCTCTAAAAGTCAGTGGACCTGGAATCGACAAGAACAAGGGAGCACTAAATTGCCAAGGGGCTGATAATGGATGTGAAGATTATTTAGGTCTTCTAGCCTTCTTCTCAACCTCTGACGCTTCCTTCCGACCAGGGAACTTTATGCTGGGAATGGGGTTCGGAACTGGGATCAGAGAACTCACGGCTCTTCCTTCCCAGGTCTGAGCAACGTTCAGCCAGATTCTACTGAATGTGGTTTTCTGCTTATCTCTGTATTTTCCTCATTTGTGCTACGGCGTTTCTCCATTAGCGCGGACGGCTCCTAGCGGACCGAAAATGACTAACTCCACCAAGCGCTTTCACATAAATATGTTTATATTTCTCTTTTTCCCGCCCAGGTACTAAAGTCTACGCTGCTTTGGGGAATCATGACTTTCACCCCAAGAACCAGCTCCCAGCAGGGAGCAACAGCATCTATGATCAGGTAGCAGAACTGTGGAGGCCCTGGCTCAGTAACGAATCCATCGCTCTCTTCAAAGAAGGTACTAGCACCATCTGCAGCTATAAGCACTTACTTGTATGCCAAGGTCTGATTGAATTTTGTCTTCAACACGACCCCGTGAAACAGGTACTGATTTTATCCCCATTTTACGGATAAGGAGCCAGAGGTTTGAAGATGTCGAGTCACTTGGCCAAGATCAGCCAGCTTAGAGATGGCCGACTCCAGTGCCCATACGCTCCACCCCATGGCACTAGCGAGGATCATAAATGAATGTTTATTGAGCATATACTGTGTGCCAGGCACTTACTCTCAGCACATGCCGAGACCCCTCCCAAAAACCCTAGGAAGGCGCAGTGACCTCCGGTTGAGGCCGGGTTTCCCATCCTTGGCACTGTTCACACCTCGGGCCGGATAATTCACCGTGGGGGCCGTCCTGTGTGTTGTAGGGCGCATAGCAGCATCCAAGCCCTCTAACCACCGGATACCAGTAACACCCTCCACTGTGATAACCAAACATGTCTCCAGCCCCTGCCAAATGGTTCCTGGGGGACAAAATCAGTGGCTGAGAGCCACCGATCCAGAGACACAGCCAGCACAAGGTGACCCTGGCTTACTCTCTTCCCTGTCCTCAGTTCCAAATGGTGAAAACCCAACCAGAAGCCCGCGGGTTTAGTCCACAGAGATCAGCTTCTGGGACAGAGTGTTGAGTGAATGGGGCTGACAGTGGATCTGGAGGGACAAATGCTTCTTGCTGTTATGCACATTAGAGAGAGGAGGAAACCGAAGCACGGGGAGGTGAAGTAAACACTTTCTCACGCTGCACAGCTACTAACCGCTAGAGCCAGGACTTGAACCTAGGCTGGGTGCCTCCAGAGCCTCTGGTTTTACTCACCGTGCTCCTCCTATGGGAAAGATGGGAAGGGAGGACACAAGGGCAGGAGAAGGTGGGCATGGAGTGGAGGGCACAGAGGTTCCTTCAGATCCTCTCTGGCTGTGACGTCTTAGGTGCCTTCTATGCCGAGAAGCTGCCTGGACTGAGTGGGGCTGGGCGAGTCGTGGTCCTCAACACCAACCTGTACTACGGCAACAATGAGCAAACAGCGGGCATGGCCGACCCCGCTCGGCAGTTCCAGTGGTTGGAAGACGTGCTGACCAATGCATCCCGAGCTAAGGAAATGGTAACGGCTCCTGCCTCCACCTCCCACCTCTCTAGGGTCACTTCCTGAAGGAGTCTCCTGCCTCCACACAAACTCACCCAACCACTCAAGATGCCCCCATCACAGAGGGGTCCTTCATCAGCCTGGTACCAGGAGGCAGCTTTTTCCATCCACACAACAGCCTGTGAAAAAGAGAAGAGTATTCTAGGGGCCACCTGGGTGGCTCGGTTGGTTAGTGTCTGACTTTTTTGTTTTTTTGGTGTTTGTTTATTTTTGAGAGAGAGGGAGAAAAAGACAGAGCATGGGCAGGGGAGGGGCAGAGAGAGAGGGAGACACAGAATCTGAAGCAGGCTCCAGGCTCTGAGCTGTCAGCACAGAGCCCGACGCGGGGCTGGAACCCACGGACCGTGAGATCATGACCTGAGCAGAAGTTGGACGCTCCACCGACTGAGTCACCCAGGCGCCCCAAGCGTCTGAGTCTTGATTTTGGCTCGGGTCATGATCTCATGATTTGTGGGATTGAGCCCGTCATCGGGCTCCACGCTGGCAGGGTAGAGCCTGCTTGGGATTCTCTCTCTCTCTACTTCTCGCTCTGCCCCTCCCTGGCTTACACTCTGTCTCTCTCTCTCTCTCTCTCAAAATACATAAATAGAAAAATAGAAAAGTGTACCCCAGGTGGCAGGCTTAGCACAAGCAAAGGCACACAGTGGAAAACACCAGGTGAAATCTTTGCTGGGGACCCAGAGTACCGGAATCTGCTTTGCAAGGGGTACCTTTGATCCTGTCTGCCTGCCTTTTGGGAAGTGGGCGGGCAGGTGTGAGGGGTCGGGGAGGGAATCCTTGAGCCCCTCCTGGGTACCCCTTCCGTGCAGGTGTACATTATTGGCCACGTGCCCCCAGGGTTCTTTGAGAAGACTCGGAACAAAGCTTGGTTCCGGGAGGGCTTCAATGAGGAGTACTTGAAGGTGGTCCGGAAGCACCATCATGTCATCGCGGGGCAGTTCTTCGGTCACCACCACACTGACAGCTTCCGGATGTTTTATGATGATACAGGTACTCGGCGAGGAGGGCAACTGCCAGCCCAGCCCCCTCCTCCTCTTGCCAGCCTCTCTCAGTCCCACTGTCTCTCTCCTGAAAGGTGCCCCCATCAGCGTCATGTTCCTTACACCGGGGGTCACCCCATGGAAAACCACCTTACCTGGAGTGGTCAACGGGGCCAACAATCCAGGCATCCGGGTATTTGAATATGACCGAACCACACTGAGCCTGCAGGTCAGGAGCCCTGCCTGGGTCTGTTGGGGCCAGAGGAGGAGGGTGGGGAGGGACCTGAATGTATCACTGCCTTGCCTAAGTCCTTCCAGGGAATCCACCTTCTTCTAGAGCTCAGGTTCAGAACCCCTGAGCCACCTCCAAATCCTGCAACCAAATCAGGTCAGTTTTTTGTCCCCAAATCTCCCTTCACCCTAGATCACATTCTCCAACTTGGCCTCCCTGCCTTTAGCCCTGCCCTGCTGTAGCTCGTCTGCTATATACTACAGAAGGAACTAATTTTTTTTTAAGTCCTTCTTGTCTCTCTCCTGCTCAAAAACCTTCAATGGCTCCCCAGTGCCCATAAGATAATAAGCTGGATCTCCCTGGCTTGGTATTCAAGGCTTCCGACAGTCGTGACCTCATGCCCATTGCCCACTTCGTGCCTATACCAACTAGGTCCCAGCCAAAGCAGGCCCCTAACTCATCAAGCAACCCCTCATCTCCTGGGATGTGCTTGCGATTGTTGAAACAGCAAAGAAATATTATTCCTTAATTTATTCAACAAAATATACCAAGCATCGACCGTGTTCCCTGGTTCCCAGGCCCTGAGTTCAGGAGATACATAAGTGAACAATAATAAAGTCACCACTCTCCTGGAGCTGACGTTCTTACAGGAGACACACAATAAATAAATCAGGAAAGTTAAGTGAGGCATGGAGAGAAGCGCTAAGGAGAAAATAGAGGGAGGAGGCCAGTGTGCCGGCGGTAGGGTATGTATGTATGCTGTGAGATGGGTGAGGCAGGGAAGTGTCACTGATAGGGTGACATTTGAATTCTGAGTAAATTGAGGGGGGGAAACCACGTGAGCATGGGTGGGGGGGCGGAAGGCGAGGAAAGAGCAAGTTCAGAGGCCCTGGGGTGGGAGTGTGCTCGGTGTGTTAGGGAAGAGCAAGGAGGTCTGTGCACAAAGGGAGAGTGGGAAGAATGAGGTCAGATCATGTCAGCCATGAGTGGGACTCTGGATGTGAAGGGTTTGGAGCGGAAGAACTAAATATTCTGACTTGTAATTTTACAAAACCGCCACGTCTGCTATTCAGAGAACAGGCTCAAAGGGCAAGCAAGGGCAGAAATGGCGGTGGGGAGGGGGGGGATCAGTTAGGAGGTGACAACAATAATCACTGAGAGGTGACGGTGCCGCGGGCCAGGGTGTGGCAGTGGGGCGGTGAGATGCCCCAGATCCTGGATGTGTGCCGAAGCCAGAGAAGACAGGATTTGCCGGTGGGCTGGATAACAGTGTGAGAGACAGGAGTCCCGGCTCTGGCCTCAGCGCCCGGAAGGGTGAAGCTGTCCTTCACTGAAATGGGATCACTGCACGAGGAACAGGTTTCAGAGGGAAGATCAGAAGTCTGGTTGGGGACCCGTTAACTTTGGGAGGTCTAGATGCTATCCAGGCAAAAGTGCCCAGGGAAGAGGCAGCAGGGTATTCAAGGAGCAGGCCCAGGAAGAGGTGGATATAGAGATTTAATCTGGGTGTTGAGAGAGGACATTTATAGCCAGGGGCTGGATGAGATAACGTAGGTCCTTGATTCCAGAGCAAATGTGTATGGAAAAGAGGTCTGAGGGCTTTTCTTTTCTTTTTTTTCTTTTTTTTTTGAGGACTTTCAAGAGTATGGCCTGTTGTCCACATGGGCACTCAGAGGGCCTTAGCAGAGGAATCACAGCCTGGTTCTTCGTCCCCCCTGCCCCCAACATACTCTACATCCTTCTCAGGGAGGGAGTCAGAGAGGCCTGGGTTTTCCACCACTCATGAAATTTTTTTTTTACCTCTTTGGCCTCCGTTTATGGGAGTAACGGTACCTCACAGGGTTTGGAGAGGACCAAACGAAATAATGTAATGTGCCCAGGGGGAAGTTACCATCTATTCATAGCAGCTCCTCTTACCCCACTTCTAGTGACTTGAGGCAGGCCCACAAAGTTAAGTGGAAAGCATTGGACAGATAAACCTTTCCAGACTCTAGTTCTGAAGATGCACTGGAGACCTAGGGGTCTTGAGTGTATCCCAAGCCCTCGGCAGCCACAATCCCATAACCTCGTTCAGCCAGGCACCCTATCCTACTTTTTAAAGTTGCTTTTTATCCATTAATTCTATAAACATTTCCTGTGTATCTGGGACAGAAAACACGTAGGCCGCAGGGTTAACAACCTGGATTCCAAACCTGCTACTGCTACTAAATACCCGTAGGACCCTGCCCAAATTAATTAAACTCTTTAGGACTCAGTTTCCTCATTTGTGAAATCGGGTATTAAGTGCAGGTACCTCATCAGCAACAGCAGTCATAGTTACAAAGAGTCTGGGGGCAAATGCAAGGTGCAGGATCGGGGGGTGGAAGCTGACGGCTGCTCATGGCCTACCCTCCTCCCTCCCTCCACCAGGACATGGTGACCTACTTCGTGAACCTGAGCCAGGCGAACGAAAAGGGGATCCCGCTCTGGGAGCTTGAGTACCGGTTGACCGAGGCCTACGGAGTGCCCGACGCAGGCTCCCGCTCCATGCACGCGGCGCTGGGCCGCATCGCCAGCGACCCCGGCACGTTGCAGCGCTACTACGTCTACAACTCGGTCAGCTACGACAGGGAGGCCTGCGACCCGTCCTGCAGCGCCGAGCACGTGTGCGCGATGCGCGAGGTGGCATTCGACGCTTACGCCGCCTGCCTGCGCGCCCCCGGCGCCGCGCCCGCGCCCCGTCTCGCGCTCCTGCTCGCGGCGCTGCTGGGCCTGCGCGCGCTGCTAGCGCCGT